ATTTTTGTGTTTTTTAAATTTCTTTTTTCTTTTTAATTTTTCCAAGTTTTTATTTAAATTAGAGTCAGTTAACATACTCAGTGTAATATTAGTTTCAGGTGTAGAATTTAGTGATTCATCACTTATGTTTGCCACCCACTGCTCATCACACGTGCCCTCCTTAATACCCATCACCTGTTTCACCCATCCCCCTGCCCACCTTCCCTCCAACCCTCTGTTGTCTATCGTTAAGAAGCTGTTTCCTGGTTTGCCTCTCTCTTTCCGCCCACCCCACGTTCATCTATTTTGTTTCTTAAATTTCACATCTGAGGGAAATAACATGATATTTGTTTTTCTCTGACTTGTTTTGTTTAGCATAATACTCTCTAGCTCCATTCACGTTGTTGCAAAAGGCAAGATTTCATTATTTTTGATGGCTGATCAAAAAGTAATTTTTGATTACTTTTTGATTATTACACAGTAATACTCCACTGTGTACATAGGCCACATCTTTTTTATCCATTCACCAGTCGATGGATACGTGGGCCTCTTTCCATAATTTGGCTATTGTTGATTGTGCTGCTATAAACATTGGGGTACATGTATGCCTTCAAATCAGCATTTTTGCATTCTTTAGGTAAATACCTAGTAGTGCGATTGCTGGATCATAGGGTAGTTCTATTTTTAACTTTTTTCGGGCACCTCCATACTGTTTTCCAGAGCGACTACACCAGTTTGCATTCCCACCAACAGTGTAGAAGGGTTCCCCTTTCTCTGCATCCCCATCGATACCTATTGTGTCCTGTGTTGTTGCTTTTAGCCATTCTGACTAGTGTGAGGTGATATCTCATTGTAGTTTTGATTTGTATTTCCCTAATGATGAGTGATTAGCATCTTTCTTTGTGTCTATTAACCGTCTGTATGTCTTCTTTGGAAAGATGTCTATTCATATCTTCTTCCTATTTTAAACTGGGTTATTTGCTTTTTGGGTGTTCAGTTTTATAAGTTCTTTGTATGCTTTGGATACTAACCCTTTACCGGATATGTCATTTCCAAATATCTTCTCTCCTTCCAAAGGTTGCCTTCTAGTTTTGTTGTTTCTTTCCTTTGCTGTGCAGAAGATTTTTATTTTTATGAAGTCCCAATAGGTTATTGTTGCTTTTGTTTCTCTGCCTCAGGAGTCATATCTAATAAGAAGTTGCTATGGCCAATGTCAAACAGGTTACTGCTTGTCTTCTCTGCTAGGATTTTGGTTGACTTCCTTGTAGTTTTCCTAATGCTTGCTCCCTGGCAGAAGACCTCTGGGTCAGTGGGAGTAACTCATCTGGGGTGGGTTGGGTCAGGTCAGGTGGGCAGGAAGGCAAGGTAAAGACCACCTTCTTGTCTACACCCCCATAGAGAATCTTTAATTCTCCACACTGTTTCTTTCTGTCTCCTTACCTGATTATGGACTTGAGCGTTCAGATGAACTTAGGCCTTCACTTGATTTAGAATCCATGCCTTTATGGTTTTGAGGTCTTGAGAAGGAATGACTACCTCTAAACATCTTCCTCCAAGGCCATTTTCTGTGTGATCAAAGTGTGTTTTTCTCTTCATATTATGAATGAGATGATTTCCCCCCAGTAGCTTTTTACTGGATTTAGGGTAGTAATACAGAGCATGGGACCTGTCTAGGACTAGTGGGAAACCAACAAACAGATTCCTGATGTTGTGGTGTGTGTTGCTTTACCTTAACCACCCAATTACCTTCTACAGTAGTGCCAACCAATTTTTGGCCAGAAAGCAAGGATGACACCTATTATTACCTTGGTCATCAAAATTCATCCATTCTCTGTACTGTCTACCTTTTGCATAGTGGACTGTATTAGATACTAACTTAAGCAGATAGATACATCTTAACTCCACACCTTCTAGCTGAAGCACTTTTCCCAGGTCACATCAGGTGTTAACTGATTGCAATGCATGTGTCTTAAAGAAGGACCTTAAGGAATTAATCCTTCAAGCAAATAATATTTATAGTCTTGTGGGATTTTATTTAATTATAAAATCTACAGGGCATCATAAAATTTTGGAAAACACAGAAAAGCACAAGGGAGTAATTAAAATCTTTCATGATGCCACAATTCAAAGAAAACAACTATTAACATTTTGACATATATTACTTAAGTCTTTGTTTCAGGATGTGTGTGTGGTTGTGCACAGGCTCTTCCCTTTACCTACCTTGTCTACCTGAGATGGTATTTACACTCCCATACTGTTAGACAGCCTCCTGAACTGCCGTAGTTTATCAGCCAATAGCTCATTTTTACACATTTAAAATATTTCTGAATTTCTGTAAAAACTGCATGGTGAGGGAGATACTTGCAGCAATGAGCTTCACACACTCTTGCATGTAGCCTTAGAATAAATGTATATGTGACAAAACAAATACACATTTTAAAAGCTTTTGATACAATTGCTAACCTCCCCTCCAGAAAGAGTCTATCAATTTTCTCTCCTACCAGCATTTTTTCAGAGTTCCCAGAATCCTCACCAATTTTTAAACATCATCATTTTTTTTTTTTTAAATCCTGCCAACTTGGTGGGGAAAAAAATCTCAGTGGTTTAATTTGCATTTCCTTGTTTATTAGTAAAGTCCATCCTGATTCACTTTTATATATTTCCTGAAGAAGTTTCATGTAGTGGTTAAGTGGGACTGCTCTGGGGCCCAGCTGTTCACTTCCTGGCACCCAAGGGTAGGTTTCTTAATCTCCCTGCGCTCACTTACCATCTCTGATAATGACAACACTTAGTTCATGGAGTCTGTATGAAGAGTGAAGAGAGTATCATGTGACAAGTACCTAGAAAGCACTTGGCATTACAGTAAGCACCTGATACATCTCAGCGCCTCTTATGTTCTGGAGCATTTATATTTCTTCGTGTAGGAGTTGCCTTTTCATTTTCTTTGTCTGGGCAAGTGGTTTGGTTTTGTTTGGTTATGGCAGAAGGTTTTAATGTGTTAAGTAGGTTAACCCATTACCTGCCATATATTAGTTTCCCCCAATTTGTGGTTTGTTTTTAAATTTTGTTCAAAGTGAGGAAATATTTGGATATTAGGAAATTCAAACTATGGGATGGCATCGTTTTGGTTCAGCCTAGGTCTTTTTTCTGCCCCTCAGTCCTGCCTCTGGAAGAGTCACTCCCCTATCACTGGGGAGATCGGGTATTGACTTTTGTCACCAGATAGCAGAAATGGCATTTTAAGCAGGATAATTTGTTATATTAAAAATCACCATCTTAGGGGCGCCTGGGTGGCTCAGTCGGTTGAGCGTCCAACTTCGGCTCAGGTCACCATCTCGCCGTCTCGAGTTCCAGCCGCGCATCGGGCTCTGGGCTGATGGCTCGGAGCCTGGGGCCTGCTTCCGATTCTGTGCCTCCCTCTGTCTCTGCCCCTCCCCCGTTCATGCTCTGTCTCTCTCTGTCCCAAAAATAAATAAACGTTGAAAAAAAAAATTAAAAAAAAAATCACTATCTTGGAATAAAACTTCTGCTTAATTTGTGTAAATAATGCGTATGGAAGATGAGAGGCTATGGTTAATATTTCACTCATTTCCCATTTATCACTAAATCCAACTTGTCAGCATTCCATGGCAAAATAGAATTAATTACTTCAATTTGGGAGAAGCTTTTAATTTGAGATCAAGATGCCTCAGAGATGGAGTATACATTACATGCTACTATGTTTTCCTTCTTTTCTGCAGATTATACAGCAGAAAGAATCTTTGTAGCCACAAAATCTTGTTCATGAGGGGAAAATGTTCATTATTTTGGCATATATACATGCAACTAAAAATTAAAAATGTTCACTCCCTGGAAAAAAATGGACATAGAGAACATTATTTTAACTTGCTAAGTAGAAAGATAATCAGAACCACCCTATGAAAACATGGAAATTCTGCTTGAGCTGCTGACTTGTTTCAAAAAGCCATTTAAAGTGGCATATATTGCTACTGTGTGATCGTTAAATGGGAGTGTGTTATATTATTGCTATGAGGGTTATGCATGATTGAAATTTCCCATATAAAAAAATGTTAAGTAGTTGTGTTAATGACGCTTAACCACTAAGGACCTTGGGGAAAACTGAATGTCTTTCATTTCTGACTCTTCATCTGGTTACGCTATGTGATTGCTGTCTAGATGTGTGTCGTCTTTCTGCTCACCTCTCTACTTATTAAACTTACATTAAACACTTAACTGCTTCCTTATCTCTTCACTTTTAATATCTTCCATCAGAATATATTCTCAGATTTTTTCCTCCCAAACACTCAAACTGAAGTATGTATCAATGAACAGAGGAGCAAGGGAATTTCAACTCTCAAATTCTGTACTGCCTTATTAGATTTTAGTCTTTATTTTGTTGTTTTACTCAAGTATGTTTTACTTTTATAGCATTTTTAAGAGAAAAAAATTTAAGTCATGATTTATATGGTAACTGTTTTAAGAATCGTCATGATGTATGGGATTGGGGATGCTTCCTGGTGCTGAAAAAGGCAACAAACAAACATCAAACAAACAAAAAACCAGAGGGCACTTAGAGCTAGCCCCACAGCCTTGTAAGTAACCTTGATTGTCCTTATTTAAACATTTTTATCCTTCCAAATCTTTTCTTCTTATTTTTCCTTATTCTCTGTCTGTTTTGATTTGCAATTATTGGAAAACATAAAGCAAGAAAAAGTGATTGGTTCTCAATGCAATCTAAAATTGTAAATTGCTGATTGAGTTCTGGGCACCTGTAATAATGAACTGCACATGCTTTATGGGCTATAAAGTATGACTGTGTTCATGCCTCTCTGTCATATTAGTCCTTTACTTGTAAGCAACATGTCAGAGAATATTTAGCTCCTTTAGTGTGTTAGTTACCTACACCCAGCGATAAAGAATTGGAAGTGCTGTGCAGAACATTTCTTTATTTTAAGCTTCAGTTCTCTCGATGCAAATATTGGACTCCTCTGGAGGAATTTAACCCCAGTCTCTACTTGCAGGCAAAATGAAGGACCGGCTGGCCGAACTTCTGGAGGTAACCAAGAACTATGACCAGCAGTTCCCAGACGGGGACGACGAATTTGACCCGCCCCATGAGGACATCGTGTTCGAGACGGACCACATCCTGCAGTCCTTGTACGGAAACATCCAGGACCTTCAGGATGAAAACCAGCAGCTGATGAACGACGTGAAGCGGCTGGGGAAGCAGAACGCCCGCTTCCTCACGTCCATGCGGCGCCTCAGCAGCATCAAGCGGGACACCAACACGATCGCCAAGGACATCAAGGCGCGGGGCGAGAACATCCACCGCAAGCTGTGCGCGATGAAGGCACTGAGCGAGGAGGCCGAGGCCCAGCACGGCGCGCACTCGGCGGTGGCGCGCATCGCGCGCGCGCAGTACAGCGCCCTCATGCGCACCTTCCAGCGCGCCATGTACGAGTACAACCAGGCCGAGATGAAGCAGCGCGACAACTGCAAGATCCGCATCCAGCGCCAGCTGGAGATCATGGGCAAGGACGTCTCCGGCGACCAGATCGAGGACATGTTCGAGCAGGGCAAGTGGGACGTGTTCTCCGAGAACTTGCTGGCCGACGTGAAGGGCGCGCGGGCGGCCCTCAACGAGATCGAGAGCCGCCACCGCGAGCTGCTGCGGCTGGAGAGCCGCATCCGCGACGTGCACGAGCTCTTCTTGCAGATGGCGGTGCTGGTGGAAGAGCAGGCCGACACGCTGAACGTCATCGAGCTCAACGTGCAGAAGACCGTCGACTACACGGGCCAAGCCAAGGTGCAGGTGCGCAAGGCCGTGCAGCACGCGAAGAAAAAGCCCTGCCGGACCGTCTGCTGCTTCTGCTGCCCCTGCCTCAACTAGCAGGTCGGCCCCGGCCACCACACCACACCGCCGACCGAAATGGCTGGGAAGCACACTGCGGGAGATTTGGGGGCCCTCTGCACCGGAGTGAGTTGCCCCAATCCTTCTGGACCTCTGTCCTCAGAGGAAGAAAAAATCTTGAGGTGCGAGAATTCCAGCCCAGCTTGTGTTTGGGAGGATGGCTGATGCCATCCAGTGTTTCTTCAGTAAAGCAGATCCCTACTGAAGTTGGGTGAGGTCATTATATGGCACATGGCACGCTTTTCCTCTTAACGGAAGCCAAATAAGGAACTGACGTTGCAGCTTACCGTGTAGGCTAAATGTCCAAGGCACGAACGCTTCCTAATGAAACTCCATGAGGAAGTCGGTTCTGCATCGGCTGGTGATGCGGCTGGTGATGGCATGAACTCATTGTCGAAACTTAAAATTCATTTACCTTATCCTGAAAGTCCCTTGGTTCTGTCCAGTTTCACAGGACATCGATCTTGGGGAAAACCGTACATCTTTCATTTCTGATTCTTCGTCTGGTTTATCCTGTGTGGTTCCTGCCTAGATGTATATCTTCTTTCTGTCCACCTTCCCTACTTATTAAAATCATATTTAACACTCATTATTTCCTTATGTTTTTCACTTTTAATATCTCCTGTCAGGATATATTTTGGATATTTTTAAGCACTGAGTTTTGAACAGGCACTCAAATGGAAGTATGTATCACTCACATTTTATATATTTTTCATAAATAATTTAAAACGTATCTTTTTATTTGATAATACAAATACACATAAATATATAAATGTAAAGGACTAATATTAATGCATGTACACAATGACCAATTAGTTTAACTTGACTTTTGTAAATATGGTCTATAAGTATCCAGAGCAGCACTTTTACTGGTCGTTGGTATTGGTTTGCTTGCTTGAGTTTACCTGACTCCCATCTCTGTGGTCTAGTTTGTGTCACAATTTTCTTTTGAACCCCTCTGCGTTGGTTATGGTGGTGGAGACAGGCATCAAAGGCTAAAATGCATACAGAACTACAGATAATAAAACAACATTCTTCAAACTATTACTTTTGTTTTACTGTGGACCATTTCTTTTGTGTACTGAAATGGAGTAACTTAAAATAAAATAATCTTTTTTTTTTCAATTTAGTTTAATAAACATTACATTATAATAACCCCTTTGTGTGTTTGTACCTTGACCGTTTAAATCTTACTTTTTCAGTTATTATTCTTAAGAATTCTTCTATTGGCTGCATTAGGCTGCAACATCTGGCTGGAACTCTGATTCAAAGGGGACAAAATGAAAAAGAATTAGCTTGTGGGTGTCTAGCTTTCTCTCCTGAGTTACTTAAAATAGCTTAGCAAATCGTCATGTTTTAGAAATTTGGTTTTGTTGGCAAACTTTGTAATGCCCTTACCCACATTTGCCATATTTTCTGTTTCTCTTCGGAGTCAACTCTTAACTGTTTTTACGTCATTATTTAATACAGGAGCAAGTTTACTCAGCAACCAAAACTCTCAGGTCCTGCAGACAGTGAAATTTTTAAAGGAATAGAAAGAAGAGTGTGTGAACTCTTTGAAACTCACTGACTAACCTGCAGATGCCCGTGAAAATCTAGCCCTGCGCCTAATTTTAATTTCGTGGTTAAATACGAGAATCGTGGAAACCAAGTTCCGCTGGGTTCCTCTCAGATGCCTCCAACTTTCTTTCTCAGCTCACCCAGGGATATGTTTCACCTTTAACTGAATTTCCTTTCCCTAAGGGAAAAAAGTCTTCACGCAGCTCCATTGCTCTTTCATTGTAAAGACGCGATATTATGAATACAAACCGCCAGCTAGTTTTCTCAAGACAGAATAGTTCATGAATTTGACTTGTTTAAACCCACAAAGCATTTCCTTTGCCTAGAACTAGTCATAAAAGTAAACGAGTTTGCAGGCTGTGTGTCTTTTTTAATTCCCCAAATTTCACAGTGGAAAATTAGGTAAAAAATACAGTTTCATATACTAAGAGATTAGTGAACTGTTGCTTATGACAAGGTAAGAATTTTTCTTCCTGCTTATTAGTAACTCTCTGAGTGTCACATAGTAGTTAAGAGCACTGATTCATGACCCCAGTTGCTCAGTTTAAATCCTGACCCTGTCGCACACTAGCTGTTAAGACTTGGGCACGTTACTTAACCTCCTTGTGCTTCAGTTTCCTCATCTGTAAAATGGACATCATAGGAGCTACTTCATACAGTTGTTGTACAAAGTAAACTCTATTTATGTTAATTATTGTTATGATATAACTTTCTGGTAGACTAGGAGAGCTGATACTGACTTAGTAAATTAATAGTTTTTCACTTCTGAGGGGAAATAACTGTATTTTTCTGTTGATAGTCTTTAATAAAATGGAATAAAGAAACCAAGACCTATCTTTTTTGAATATGAGGGCTTTTTTTCCTACAACAAAACACCATTTTCACAATGCATTTATATTCCTTCTTATATCGAAACACTTTCTGAAAAAGTAGTAGATGTTCCACTCGAAAAACAGTTAAGCAGGAAGCAGCTGCTCTGCTCAGTGTGGCAAGTGCTTTCCCCTGATCTTCCCAAGCTGTGAGTCAGAAAGCGTTCGCTTGTGGAGGCCAGGTCACAACAGACTAAAGGGAAGGGATTCGTTGGCTTTCCCCACATCCTGTCCTGTTTCCCTGCAGCCCTTCGTGGCTCTGACTGCCATGCCCAACAGTGTATGCAATGCTGGCCTTTTCCCTTGGAAAGGGTGCTCCAGTGCCACCAACAGGTGCATAGAGTTCGCTTTACCCAATCCCATGATGCTCTCTTGGTGAACTCTGAATGCTGGCCTTGGGCAAGAAGAAAACTTTGTGGCAAAGCTGCTAATTTTCATCCACTCACACCATTTAAGGTATAAAATGAAAGAACCAATCACAAAGAGCAACAGATCCTCCAGCGGCTGAAGGTGGAAATCTTTTTCTAAAGCTATTTTAACATATGCGCTGACACCTCCTTACCAGCCAAATGACAAACCTTACAGTCATGGCCACAGATTATAGGTGGTGACAACTCCAGAAATACCAGAAATAGGAGAGATGCTCACTAGGATGCGTTAGTATCCAGGATAACATAAGTTTGCATTTTTTAAAAGCTGATCAATAACTCAAAAGCGTTTGCACCGTGACATCATGGGAGGAAATTTATGGCCTTTCAAGGTAATGGCCTTGAAAGAAAACTCTGTTCTTGTACCAGTGCTTCATACTTATTGAAAAGCAGTCCCGGTGCTTTATAGTTGAACGTCACATGCACATATGTTTCCAGCTTTACAATGTAAAGTTTCTATCTTGACAGGAAACTACTGAAGATTGTGTGTAGGTTAAAAATAATAAAAGAAGGGCAGCTGTAGTCTTGGATTTTATGTATAAATCCCACCACTCTATTTTCCATCATAAGACATATTTCTACACCTCTCTTTGAAATATGCAAGGTGCCTCTAAGTGCAGCATGCAGTTCACTCATTTGTAGTCAGGATAATGGTTTGAAACATCCAGTTGCCATGAAAGTAACAGTTAACTTGCTTTTGATAGCAAGAATTAAAGACCTTGCAATTAATACAAAGGGGCTATTAGAAATGGGAAATGAGTAGGATCTGGAATGCAACCTCACCATCATATGACTATTGAGCATCTTTATTGCCAACATTTGTTATAAAGGATGGATGTGACGTCCTTATATACACTAGAAGCTTTTGTTGTAAAGATTACGTGTATACTGGTGAGAAACAGCTTTCTGACCTGATGATCTGGGTGAGACTACATATGATGCTTTAAAACCAATGATATCTTGAAAAGTGAGGAGTAGGAAACAACTCCCCAACACCATCATTTTCTCATTGTTGGTATTTTGAAAGTATTTTTATATCCCATTTTAATTAAAAGCATCTTTAAGCCACTTCTTGGACCTTTTTCACTTTTCCGAATCTGTATCTATACATTTTCAAGGCCTTATAGCCAACTCTTTAGACATATCCTTTCTTCTGCATCCAAGCATCTCATAATATTCTATAGTGGATACAAATAACAGAGCATGAAAATTAGATATATCCTTATCTCTGTGTTTTCAGATGGGCCCAGTGCTTCGCATGTGCTTAGTTTTGCTATCCCAAACGGGAGAGCGCTAAGAGCCATTTAACAGGAACAGACATGTAATGCATGTGTTTCTAAATTTCTGTGTCAGGATCTTTACACTCCTCCGTCAGTGTGGTCTCCAGTTATGTGTCCCCTTTTCCTGATATCTCCTACAGATATGGGAATTTCTTCTAAGCCACTATAAATGTATTATGGAAGGAGGCAGGGAAAGAAGGAGTGAGTATCCACACCTACCACAAAGCTCACTGGCTGAGGATGAGCAGTGCTTGTTTTCTAAGCGTTCTTGGGAGACAGATGGTGCCTCATATCTGTTCTACACTCAATCCCCCGCTGTTTCCTTGTTTTGTCCACTGTGTGTGTGGGTTTTACACCTTGCCTAACTCTCCACTATTCATGCATTCCTATCTGATCGTCTAGTTTCTGTTCAGCGGCTTGCTCTGACTTCACAACCTGACTGCTGTTCGTCTGCAAGCCTTCCTGGCTGACATTTTCCCCCTGACCTTCAATTTATGTACACTTCTGGCACGAGTCTGAATCCAACCACACTTTGCTCAAAAGTGGTCCCGTCCCACAACAGATAGACATAATATCCATCAGTATAACACCTTTCAGTTTACTTTTTTTTTTCATGATAATCTTGTGAAGTAGTATTGCTAACACTTCATTTTTTCCTAAGAGGTGGGAACTAAGAATTCAGTCCTCTAATATTTGACAGTTACGTATTTGCAAGGGTCTATTTCTTACTCTCATATTACTAAGCTTCTCTGTGCATGTTCATTTCGATGTCAGCCTAGAAGTACAAACTTCATGAAGAGAAGAATCATTTTCCTTGACTGATCTCCGTAACATTAGTAAAAGAAGCTCTTTCTTGGCCTTCTGGCTCTGCATTTTTTCTTCTACCTTTGGCTCTCCCTTTTTAGTCTCCTTCACAGGTGTCTCTCCTTCTTCCCAGCTGTCATTGCTGAGTCTGCATCCAAGGCCAAATTCCCAGAGCTATTTCTTTCACTCCGAGGGTCTCAAATACCACCTTTCTAAGCGCTAGGGGTTTACAGATCTGTATCTCCAGCCCCGACTTTTCAGCTGAGGCTTGAGTCTGTACGTCCAACCACCTAGCAAACATCAGCAGTTAGATGTCCGACTGGAGCTTCTAATGCTACGGATCCTGCCATCTTCCCCGCTCCCTGACCCCCACCTCTTTCTGTTCACCCTATCATGCGGGCAGCGGGTGGCATCATCGATCACTTTCTACCCACTGCCCAAGCCAGCACCCTTGCTGCAGCAGCCTGTCTCTCTCCCACTTTGGCTCTCTTGGAAGCCACACACTTCACTTATGCACACCACCACTTGCCCAGATCAGACAGCCATCCCCTCTTGCCTCAGTTACTTTAGCAGCTTCTAACTGGTCTCTAGCTTCCAGTCTTGCCTTCCTAATCCAGTCTGTACACTATAGCCATAGTGCTTTTTCTTTTTCTTTTTTTCCTCTCTCTCTCTCTCTTTTTGTCATTACTATGTTGGGTTTTTTTTTTTTTTAATTGTGGCAAAATATCCCTAACCCAAAATTTACCACTTTCACCATTTTATTTTTTTTTATTTTTTTTAACGTTTTTATTTATTTTTAGGACAGAGAGAGACAGAGCATGAACGGGGGAGGGGCAGAGAGAGAGGGAGACACAGAATCGGAAACAGGCTCCAGGCTCCGAGCCATCAGCCCAGAGCCCGACGCGGGGCTCGAACTCACGGACCGCGAGATCGTGACCTGGCTGAAGTCGGCCGCTTAACCGACTGCGCCACCCAGGTGCCCCATCACCATTTTAAAGTATCTAGTTTCAGCAGTGGGAAGTATACGTATGTTGTTGTGCATCTAGTCTCCAGAACTCTTCTCATCTTGCAAAACTGAAACTCTGTACCCGTTAAACAACGTATCCCCATTCCCTTTCCCTCAACCCCTGGCAACCACGGTTCTCCTTTCTGTCTCTAGGAGTTTGACCACTCAACATACCTCATTTGTCTTTTTGTGAATGGATAGTTTCTCCTAGCATAACATCCTCAAGGTTCCTCCACGTTGTAGCCTGTGCCAGAATTTCCTTCCTTTTCATGGCTGAATAATACTCCATGGTCTACGTAGACCACATTTTTGTTCATGCATTCATCCGTTCGTGTCCTTAGTCTGCTTAAAACTCTCTGATGGTTGTGCTTTGCTGTTGGGATAAGCATTCAGGCCCCAGCTTCTTCTTTAGCCTCACCTTCTCACCCTTCATTATATCCACTCTCTTCTCCAGCTCTGACTGTTGCTGCGGGTTGTTTCTCTGCCTGGACCACTTCCCAGGACTTGCCCCCTGTGTAAGTGTGATGCTCTGAGAAACTGACTCCAGGGAGGGATTACACATGCAAAACTTTTATATGGGGAGATGTGTTAGAGAGGAACAGAGAAAATCACACCTGCCTCGGTGCCCCTGCAGTACTTAGTCATGGAGCGGGCAGAGGGGCTCTGCAGAAACGGATGGTTTGCAGCGCCCATCCCTCATTGTGCTGGTGTGCTCCCAGAGGGGCATCTTCTGGCCAATGTTGTCCCTCTCTTCACCAAGCAGCCTGTGCTTCCTCTGCTAGACTGCTTTCTGATTTTTTTTTTAAGTTTATTTATATATTTTGAAGAAGAGAGAGAGAGTGAGCCAGAGAGGGGCAGAGAGAGAGAGAGAGGGAGAGAGAGAATTCCCAAGGAGGCTCCTCACTGTCAGCACAGAGCCCAATGTGGGACTGGATCTCATGAACCATGAGATCATGACCTGAGCTGAAACCAAGAGCTGGATGCTTAACCAATTGAGCCATCCAGGCGCCCTTGCTTTTTTATTTTTTTTTTAATTTCTTTTTCAACGTTTTTATTTATTTATGGGACAGACAGAGACAGAGACAGAGCATGAACGGGGGAGGGGCAGAGAGAGAGGGAGACACAGAATCGGAAACAGGCTCCAGGCTCCGAGCCATCAGCCCAGAGCCTGACGCGGGGCTCGAACTCACGGACCGCGAGATCGTGACCTGGCTGAAGTCAGACGCTTAACCGACTGCGCCACCCAGACCATGTCATCTTATTTGTGTTTTGATCTTAGTGTTTTGCATAGTATCTGGCTTCATAGGTATTCAAATGCTTGTAGTTTAAATGCAGAAATAGAAATATTCAGAATTTGCTTTCTGTTACGAATGAATTTGTGTCTACTTTTAAAAACTGCATTTATTTTATGGCATAAAGCCCAATATCTAGTCCCCCCTGC